GTTGTGAATCCTCTATTTTTCTTTACATGAAAGCATTTAATACATCACAGTAGTGGTATTAGGAAACTCGACTCCCGAGTCATTCTAACATTACTCAAACTTTGAATTTTACCCTTTGGACTAATGTTATGATTTTCATCTTCTCTACAATAATTGTCTCTTTAAGAAAAAATGCACTTTTTTTTGTTTGTACCACTTGCCACTTATACTCAAATCATAGTAGGGCCAAAATAATTGAAAAATTATATCTATTTGTGTTTATTCATGCATTATAGAAGCTCGTTAATATGCACATTTCCTTGGTTGCAGGTCATTGGTGAACCTGTTTATGTGGTGGGCAACTCCCTTGGTGGCTTTGTTGCTATGTACTTTGCAGCATGTAATCCTCAGCTAGTGAAGGGTGTTACATTACTAAATGCGACGCCATTTTGGGGATTTCTTCCCAACCCCATCAGGTCACCCGGATGGTCCAGAGTCTTCCCATGGGCTGGGACATTTCCGTTACCATTGAGCGTGAGAAGACTAACTGAGCTCATGTAGGTATTTAGTTTTCTGCCTCATTTATCTTTAGGGGAGTTTACATGCATACCCTCTAATCCTATGTATTTTCATATCTAATGCCTAAACTTATATTTTTTTTACATTAATACCATTCAAATCTTTCATATCACATAAAAATATCACTAATTCAACTTTCAAAAAGTAACATACATCTTTTCATGCATAGGCAAGGTGGCATGTGGGTAGCAAAAAGTAACATACATCTTTTCATGCATAGGCAAGATGGCATGTGGGTAGAAATTGAAGTTTAGGTGTTAGATATGTAAATACATACGAATTGAGTGGTATGTATGTAAATCTTCCTATCTTTTAATAATCTAGTCTTTTACTTTTTGTTGACTTATGAACTGAACTTTGTTATTTTTATTGGCTGGCATCTTTTCATGAATCTTAGTTCTGCAATGTATCAGTTGAAATGATAATTTGAATATTTTCATGAATCTTAGTCCTGCATGGTTAGATTAGGTTATTTATTTGAATTAGGGCAGAGTGCCCTCTATATTTTATGTGGTTCTGGTATGTTTATACTAAATAGACTTCGCGAATATGTGATGGGAACTATAGAAAGTATTGATTCTATTTGAACCAATAATGAAAATAGTGTATTTATTTCATCTCTTGAAGGTTGAAAACATGTTAATGAATTTGGTATAATATCATTTTCAAACTGAAATGAGAGAATAAAATTATCGTTGTAACATGTTTTCCGTTTACAACAAGCAACCAAATGAGTATTTTAAATTTCTAAACGCAATCAAATGATTGATATATTTGTCTGTTTACAAGCAATCAAATGAGCCTTGATATTATTTAAAATTTGTAAGTGCAGAAGTATACTCTCTTTTTATATAATTCAAGTTTGGCCACTTAGTTCTTTATTATTATGTTTTCTTTCTGATGGATATAAATCCTTGCATTCTTTCTGGAAATAGAGGACCATGCCACTAGAGCCATTAATTTTAAGTAGATCATAGTATTTGAAGAAAACGAAGGAGAAAATTCTCTTTGAAATCTTATTCACAATCTTCAACTATGAGATTACATATATATATATATATATATATATATATGGCAACTATTCCCTTCTAATTTACCAACTTACCACATATATCTACCCCAAACATGAAAAGGTAATAATTCTGAAATAAACTGAAATAAACATAAATAGGAAAAGAATAAAATTCATTCAGGAGTTTTCTAAAATGTTTTCAATCAAATCTTCTTATATTTTCTCAGAACTGCACGCTCCTCCTCAAGCTGGGTCATATATGCTGTAAAGGCCCAGCTTGGTATTCAACTCAGTGAAGTTGCCTGGGGGTAGAGGTTTAGTGAAGATATTTGTGACTTGAAGTTGGGTTGGAATGTTGATCGAGTGGATAATGCCACTATCGACATCCATTGACATTTTCAGAGATAAAATGTTTATCAATCTCAATGTGTTTGGTCCCTATCACTCCGCACAAGATTCTTTACGGTATTGATGGTGGCGCGGTTGTCACATAATTTACTTATGTGATTGACTGTGGAATGTCCCAACTCATTTAATAACATTTGAATCCACATTCGTTCCCTATTAATTTTTGTTTAAAAAATTTCTGAGTGTTGTAATAGTTAATTTTTCTATTTTTTTGGTAACTTGGATTTAATTACCCATTTAGACTTGATTTGACTTGCGATCTGTTTGCTCCAGATGGCGAAAGATAAGCGAACCCAGTAATATAAAGGAAATATTGAAGCAAGTCTATGCTGACCATTCAACTAAGGTTGACAAAGTCTTTTCTCGTATTATCGAAATAGTACAACATCCAGCAGCTGCTGCTTCTTTTGCTTCCATTATGTTTGCTCCCAGGGGCCAGCTATCTTTCCAGGAGGCGTTATCTATGTATGGAAACTATTCAGTCATCTTTCCTCCATTGCAAACTTTTAAATTGTTGATTTTTTTTTTTCACTTAAATTTAATTATGAAATTTTTGCAATTTATATTTTAAAAGGTGTCAACTGCAAAATGTTCCAATCTGCCTTATGTATGGGAAAGATGATCCCTGGGTTAGGCCGATTTGGGGCCGGAAAGTTAAGCACCAGTTGCCACAAGCACCATACTATGAGATCAGTCCTGCAGGGCACTGTCCTCATGATGAGGTTCCTGAGGTATTCAAGTCTTCCTTTTGTTGTCCCATTTTCTTGTGATTTCGACTTGTTCCTTGCATTATACCTTGTTTAAAGTTAAAAAGATCATGGTGTCTTTTGACCTTAATATTTCTTTCATTTCTACTGAAGTTAATGCATTTATATCATATTTTTTGCTCTTTTGCTAGTTAATTAATCCAATAAATTTTCTTATGCTGTTTCATTTTCATTTAAGCAAAATCTATTATTTGATAGTTGTTAAAAAAAGTGTCAAAAAAAATGTTCCTCTAACTCTTTGTAGGGGGTCATTTAAGTTTCAGAATTTATAGAATTGTCAATTTAGTTCTCATTATTATTTTTTTAAATATGGGCTGAAGTAGTCCCAGAGAATGACTATTTTAGCCCCAAATAAAAGAATTTGGGGGATAATTTGACATTTTTAGACTCTGACATCTTTAAATATGGGCTGACGCTATAAAGTCCTCTTCATTTATTTATGGTACAAAATTTAGGCATCCATCATTTCTCATTGAACTCCTCTCGTTTATTGGCTCCATGATTTCTTCGGATTCTTTCTCCTCATGAAGCCATGAAGCTCTGTAATCTTTATGTGGCTTCTGAATCACTCCGTGGCTACACCATCGTCTTTCTCAAGCAATGGACACTTGATTTTGACGTGTCCCTATTTCGTTCATGTTATATATACATACATAGCACCTGAAACATTGCTATTTATAAAATCCAACGCCCATGTGATGTTTTTTAACTATCAAACAGATCTTTTTTGCCTTAAAAATAGATGAATTTTCGGAGATTAAACAACCGAAATATGCCATCGCTTATCCTACAAAATTCTCTTCTACTTCGCGGGCCGCTGGTACCATCACTGCCTTCTCTAGTTGTCTCCGGCCGCAAGTTCTCCTAGCTGAAGCGAAACAGTTGCTTATACTCTCTTCTATCATGAAATAGAAACATTTACATACATACCACTCAATTCCAATGTTTTTACATATCTAACACTTACACTTCAATTTTTACATACACGCCGCCTTACCTATGCATGAAAATGTGTATTTCACTATTTAAAAGATAACATGGTTGTAATTTTTATGTGATAATGAAAGTTTTGGATGGTATAAATATGAAATATAAAGTTTACGTGTTATATATGTAAATAGATTTGGAAATGGAGTGGTATGTATGTAAAAGCACTAATTTGCTTTCTTGCCCCCATTTAAAACATGGAAGACTAGCTTTATTCTCTCTTTCAACTTGAATTATCTTAAAAGCAAAGTTACAGTGATAAAGCTTATAAATCTGCTAAATTCTTCTTAATCAGGTTGTGAATTACCTGCTGCGTGGGTGGATAAATAGTCTGGAGTCTGAAGGTTCTGTGTCATTGCCTCTCCTTGAAGAACCTGAACTTTCTGAGAAGATTTTCTCCAGAGAACTGGAATACATCAGAGAAGAAGGAACACAAAAATCTGTTCGAGTTCGATATTTCGGATCGAAAATTTCTTCGTGGGATCAGCTGGTCTCCTCCCTCACTTCAGGAGCTGCAAAATTGTTGTTTAATGGCAGATAATGCCTCATGCCATTCTTAGAGGCCTTGTAAATTTTGTAATTTGTTTGTGTGTGTGATATTAATATGTCTCTTAGGTTTGATTCCATAGGTTTGAAAGTTTACTTTTTGGAAGAAGAAATGTTTACTGGAGAGTTATTACACGTTATTATACATCAGAAGAATAAACATTGATTTTATATGAAGCATTTGATACTACCTTTTTTTTCGTGCAAAAATACATTTAAGATGTGATACAAAGATTTCTTATAATTGGTTTGGACTTATGCTTGGCAAATTTACCGTGGAAGTTATATATTTATTGAGAGGTTTGATGGAGAAATACAGAGAGAATAAGAAGGATCTGCATATGATATTCATAAATTTAGAAAAAAATTTAGGACAAGGTTTTGAGAGAAATTCTTTGAAGTCTTGAAAGAAAGATGTTGATATGACTTATATTAACTCATCAAAGATATGTATACCACAACTATTACTAGTGTTCTAACACGAAGATTGACCAAGCATTTTTCTATTTTAGTTGTTTTATATCATCGATCAACTTTAAGCCCATATTTTGTTGCTTTAGTGGTGGATATTCTTCCTAGCCATTTATAGGAGGATGTATCTTGGTGTATGGTTTTTGCTATGATATACTTTTCGTGGATAAAACTAGAGAAAGAGTTTAAGAAAAGCTTGAATTATGGATGTCTACATTAGAGTTTCTGGGTTTTCGTTTGAGTAGATTTAAACTTGAAAACATGGAATGTAATTTTACTAGTAGTATATTTAGCGGCAGAGATATAATTATGGGTGATCTAATCACTAAAAGGTGTGAACGCTTTAAATACCTTGGGTATATTGTTCAAAGTGGTGATATAGATGAGAATGTTATTAATAGAATTCAAGTTGATTGGTTGAAGAGTAGGAATGTATCGGGCCTATTGCGTGATCAGTGGCTTAACACTTACGAAATGTGAACTAAAAGGGCTAGTGTAGCTCCGGTGACAGACGGTGATAGACAAGATTAGAGAGAATCATCTTAGATGGTTTGGTTACATTAAATGTCGATCATCTGATGATCCGGTTGGGAAAGTAGATATTTTAGATTCAAGATATGTTAAAAAAAAAGATAGAAGTAGACCTAAAAATACTTCGGCATATTGTATAAAAATGATCTATTTTATTAGAATTAAATGAAAATATAGACACTCAATAGGACACAATGGAGAAAAAAGATTTATGCAGTCGACCCCACTTAATGGGATAAAGGCTTGTTGCCGTGGGATAAAGACGTGTGTTGTTGTTGTTGTTGTTGAAAAATACATTTGAAGCATTTATTTATTTTTCACATTTAGTTCACTAAAATTTAGCATTTTAAGAGATTGGTATGTCCACAAATTTCTATTTATGCAAGGGATATTGATGTATAGGCATCCCATAAGAATTTTATTTTATTTGAACAATTGATATACAATGTAAGAGAACCAGAAACATGAATCTTATACTTATCATAAAAAGCTTCATTAAAAAAAAATACATGCAAAGGGAGCTCCTTGCTTGGCAAGGCAATATAGAAGTTTAAATTTGGCTTGAATACAAAATTGAAATTGAATTAAATTGCATAAATTTTATATGTGATGGAGTTCAAATCTTCAATAATAAGAAGTTTACAAATACAAGCAAAATTAAATTTATATGAGATAAATTTTCAGACTTTTTAAAATAAATAATATATATTTCTAAAATTAAATATACACTAAGTTAAATAAAGCCAAAATTTTCTTAAATTCATCACTTGATTTTTTGGGGAACAAACCACAAATTTTAAGAAAAAAACATTTACATGAATATGACTCAATGTTTATGTATTTACATATCTATTTACATATCTAATGCCTAAGCTTTTATATGTATATATATAGACAAATACGCGAAAAATTATTGTATATATACACCGCATGAAGAGATGCATGCGGCGGATCCTGACTGTAGACTACGGTGATCTGCGGTCAGGATGTATTTCGGTGGGTCCCATTTTAATATATTTTTTTTCAAAAAAATTTTGATTGCATCCTGACCGTAAATCACCGTGATCTACGGTCAGGATCAAACACTGCATGCATCTCTGCATGCGGTGTATGTATGCAATAATTTTTTCAAACACACACACCCCCCATCGTAATTAGCGTAAGTTAATAACAGTGAAATTTGATGTGAAAAAAAGATCTGAAAAGAAAAATTTGGGTGATATAAATATAAAAAATAAAATTTGTGTTAGATAATTAAATGCATAAGAATTGGGCGGCATGTGAAATAATAATAAGAATAAATAATAATAATAATATCATAAATAAATAAATTTTAACTTAATTATAGAGACGGGAAAGTGAGAGCGAGAGATGTTGTGTTAATCTAGTTGTCTCTAGAAATTGTTTATGTATTTTTGCACATTTTTCATGTGGATTAGGAAGTTTTGAAAACCGTTTTGTGGTTAGGTGGTTAGGAAAACCGTTGAGTGGTTAGTTAGCAAAGCGAGGGGAAAGAGGCTCAGGCGGCTCGGTTGAGTGCTGCGAGCATCAAAGTAAAGGAAGAAGAGGAAGAAGAGGAGGTTTGATTGGCTACCTGAAGGGCTTGAACAACTCATCCGAGCTTCCTTATTGCATCATCGACATTTCTGCGGTCATGCGAGAGTAGGAGAAAGGGGGACGAAGTTGGAAACCGCTTGTTCGCATCAGTTGAGGCACTCGTGCCCTAACCTAGCCACAGAATAGGAAGGAGGGCCTCGAGCGGTCTATGAAAACTTGATTGAGAGCTTTGGAAAGAAGAAGGGATCACGGGATCCATCTGGGTGCGAAGGGAGGGAGCTCCGTTTGCGTGAAGGGAGATCAACCAGGAAAAATTATTGCATAGACGCGGTAAAGATGTATTTCGGTAGTCTCTATTTTATTTTTTATTTTTTTTTTGATTGCATCATGACTGTAGATCACCATGATCTATGGTCAGGATCAGATACCCATGCATCTCTGCATGTGGTGTATGTATGCAATAGTTTTTCGATCAAACCAGAGAGTTTAAAAGGGTAAAATATTAATTTATTTCAGTTAAAAATGTTAATTGATTTAAATTAAGTTATGAAATCTGATTCCTGATAAATCAAATTAAATTTCAGAACATCCTAAATTTTAAATTAAGTCATAAATTTTAAATTTAGTTATAATTAAATTGTTATTATGTTAGTATGCAAAAAGGAAAAATGTTAGAAGATTTAACATAATATGTATTTTGGATACATCTATATCATATCCACGTATATATGTTTAGATATTACATGTATATGTATATATATTTATATAGGTAAATAAATATTTAATGAAATAAATAAATTATGAAAATGATGATAGAAAATCTAGAAGAAATAGGAGATACGTTTAACACTAAACAAAAAGTTAATTACATTTAAATTTGTCATTATAAGTGCACTTAAAAACTAGACTGATCTGAGAAAAATGATAACATACGACAATGTTGAGTTGAATAATATATTTTTATGTTATAATAGTTTTGTTGATTTACACATATTTTTATTATTTCTTAGCTTTTACTTTAAACTGCAAAATCACGTGTTTTCTTTTTAATGTTAAATGCAAATTTTCTTTTAAATTTTAAATGCAAAATAAAAATAAATAAAATATGAAATATGCATGCATATAGGAGTCGCCTCTGGATTGTACTAGAAGAGCAATGCATTATACTCGTGCATGAAATAGAAATGGAAATGAAAAATGAAAATGGAAAACTTTGCCTACCTTTATGGTGGATTGGAAAAAATTAAACATATATTATTTAGAATTTATATGTTTAGGCGTTAACTCACAATCATGAAAAAAGTAATCTAAATTAATGAAATGAAATTATTTCCCTTACAGCTCTCTTTTAATGTACAACTTTAACTATTATTGCGCATTACTAAAATATTTTAAAAATGAGAATTATTATAATTTAGAAATTTTTATCGAGTGAGTATAGTTACTAACATTTTTACATGAAAACCAGCTATATATTAGATGAACCCTTACCATTTAGTTTTTTTTTTTCTATATAAATGTAAATGTAAACATTTAAATATGAATACTCTATTGCAAATATAAGTTTTATAAATTAGAATGACTCATTTCTGTTTCTGATTTTTATTCTTATGATGAAATGAAACTGTTAGATATATTTCTTCCGTTTGGCCGTCATTTCCCACCGTGATAATTCTAATGTCATCGGGTCGGGTTGTGACAGTATGCATGTGCGTGCTCGGCATAAAAAATGCATGCTTAGAGCTTGAGTGAGGGGGTTGGGAGAATATGGCACAACCATATTGCTAACACATCTTGCACACTATATATTGCTTTAAAATCATTTGCATAAGCTAACCTATATTTTATATCATAATTTTTTTCAGGTCAGGCAGACATCTCTAATCAAAATTTTTGCCTTATTTTTAACCAATGTTACAAGAGATGGGCAAAATTATGTCGGGGCCGGCCAATATTCACCTCATTTTAGCAAAAGGTGGACCAAAAAGCATAAAATTCACTATTTAATTAATTTATTTAAATGCTTAGTTTAAGACAGAATAAATAAAGCAAATTAATTGCTTTTTTTTTGTTTAAATTACATATAATGCACAAATTTTGCATATATTTGAATATCAAATACCTAACTTATTGTAATTTTTTTTTGAAATATATGAAATGCTTTTCTAAGAAAAGAATGTTCAATCAAAAGTGTCCATAAATATCTTCTTCATCATCATCTAAAAAGTCATTACTTCTCCTTTAAATCAAATTAATTGATTTTAAGCTTGGCTCAAGAAGTGGTTCATGAATTAAGCTCTGTGCTAAACAAGCCAAGCTCAAGCTAACCCCTACCACCACTCATTAACTGGTGACTCATTTAAATATAATTAATATAAAATATACTCAAAATATATTATATTTTAAAATTTTATCTTTAAAGTACGAAAAATATTTTAAAAATAATATTTTATACTTCAGATTAAACCATTTTTTATTATTTATCTCCTAATTACATATTCTAGTTGCCATTTTATTATAATATGAACTTAAATTAACATTATTCTCTTTTTTATAATAAACAAGCCGGCCCGTGAACAGACTCAAACTCGTAAATTTAAGCTCAAGCTCAAGCTCGGGCACTACTACTTTCAACCATAAGAGAATCAAAATCAGATAGAAAATAAATGAGAAAGCATACGTTGAAGACCACCATCCTTTATTAAGTAAATATTTGTTAAATAAATGAGATAAATTTGGCCGCATTTACTTTTCGGCAGAGTTTTAATGCGTATAAATTGCACGGAGGCTTTTTTGTCTTTGTTCCAGTAAAGGGGCTCAAAATAAAAGCATAGAAAATAAACAAATACAAAATAGATCCGCTTAATCACTCAATTTTCTCTCTGCTTTTTTCAGCATCTTTTTTTATCAAAATCAAAAAGTCAGGTTCAACATTAATTTCCCCCCCCCAAGCTTTTTTTTTTTTTTCCTTTAACCGTAACTTTTTTAATTAAAAGTTGATTCTTGAAAATTAAGCTCTAAGTTCTTAAAAATTGATTCGAATTTTGATTTAGATCGAGATCATATTGAAATAAATGAATAGATCTCGATCTAAAATTTTGTATCAAATTTTCTTTAAGCCAACCCCAGCTTGGCTCAAAATTGAATCTTTAACCCCTGTAGTGATGTTATGATTATGAATTCAACAAATTTAGCTCCAAGATCAATCACCACCCGAAAATTAATTTGAATTTAAACTGGGATCGAGATCAGATTGAAATAAATTAACCAAAATTTTGAATTGAATTTATCATTCTTCACCCATCATTCATGAAATTTATTTCTGAGATGATTTAAACGTTAAGAAAATGCCTCACTGAAGTCGGAAGCTACGTAATAAAGTCTCGAATTACAAGTAACGAGCAAAAGATTAATGATGAAAATCAACGTCCCTATATAGCAAAAAGCAAGAACCAACATCACCTATAAAAAAATAAAAATAAAAAACCTTACACAAAGATCTACCCTTTCCACAACCTTTCCCCCAAAAAAATAAAAATAAAAAACCTTACACAAAGATCTTCCCTTTCCACTTCCCCACCTTCTTCCTCCTAAATAATCATCCAAATTGATATAAATAAAGATATAGATCAATTGAAGCAGAATCGAACTGAACCGATGGATGGATCGTTAACACCAGATCATCAAAAATTACGAACTTGATAATGGAGATCAAACCTGGGACTCGATCTTGCGCCCCCCCAAGCTCTCAGTTTCCTTCTCCTCGATAAGGTTCCTGGCTTCCTCATCAGCTGGAGCAACCTTCTTCTGAGCTTCCTTGGCCTTAAGCCCCTGCAGCTTGATGTGGTTATAGTACGCCACTCCGAGGAAAGCGATGCCGTAGCCGACGAGATTAATGGTTGTAACGGTGTCACGGATCACAGACCATGAGAAGGCGATGAGAAGCCAATCCTTCACAACACCGGCAACATTCATGGTGAGAGCAGAAGTCTTACCAACTAGCAGGAAGACGGCGAGATTGAGCGCAAAAGCGCAGAAGGAGTTGGTTCCAAAGATAAAGAAGTCGAGGTGAAAAGAAGAGGTGTTGCGGAGTATGGGAAACTCAACGATGGCCCATGGGAGGGAAAGAAAGACAAGACAGCAAGGAGACACATAATAAAGAGTGGTGATGGGGTTCAGAGTAATCCCCTTGGAGCTCAGAAGGATCTGAATCAGAACAAGACGGGTCGCCTCAAAGACAACAGCGCCAAGCTGCAGCAGAACCCCCCATGTACTAAATCTAGCCTCGCCATAGGCTGCGATCGCAACGCCAAACGAAATCGAGAGCATGTTAGCCATTGTTGTGCTGCGGAAACTCTCCTTGCTAAACAGAATCGAGATCGAATACACAGCCACAGGCATCAGAGCTTTGAGCATCTGAATAAAGGAGACAGATAGGTATATATACGCCGAATTCGAGAACCAGAGAGAAAAAGCGTAGAGCGCCCCGATCGGCACAACGCTGGAGATATAGAGCTCGCGGGTCATGGTAGGGGAAGATGGAAGCTCAACGAGACGAAGAACGCGGACGAGGATTATAGCGAGAGAGGAGCAAAAGGCCATGTGAATCATAGTGAGAGAGATCGGGAAGGGCCAGTTATACATCTTAGGATCGAGGATGTATTTGTTGTAGACGATGACGGTGAAACTGAGAAAGATCCAGATTCCGACATAGAAGTAAGAGAGAAGTACCTTCTTCACCACGCTCTCGCTTGCGATGGAGGCCGATGACACCTCGCGACCCATCGATCTTCTTCCGGCAGTTTCAGAATCGAGGGCCGAAGTAGATCTAGATGTCCCTCTCTTGCTCCGATTGAGAGGGATCCACCGCAAGAGAGCGCAAGCGGGACAGCCTAACCCCCAACTAACCCTAATTTAGCAGCGAAGATGGAAGATTAGAGAAGGGAGGAAGAAAAAATGGAGAGGAGATGGATCTGAGAATGGAAAGGAGGAAGGGGATGGAACGGGGATTATAAAGGGGATGCTGATGGACTTTGTGAAGAGCCCGGGTCCAGTGTTGGGCTAAAGCTTTTGGGTCTTGGGGCATGATTTTTGGGTCCTAGCATTTTCTTTTCTTTGGATTTTGATATATATTATTGGATTCTTATTTATTTGTATGTTTATCATATTAATTTTTATATTTATTTAGGTAACAACTTAATTTTAAAACTATGTTTGAAAATGTCATTATACTTATTTGTAATATAATATTTTTTTCAAGAATTTATTTTAATGTGATTTAAATGTTAATTTTTTTATAATATGCTTAAGTATTTATGTCTTAACTTTGTAAATATCTAAAATTTTGTGATGTATATGCAAGTCTCTTGTATTTTTAGAATATGTTTATCAAATTTAATTATAATTATTAAAAATTAAGATAAATGTATTTTGTTGGCGTCTCAAGTTTGGTTTTGAAAACCAACAAGAGAGTGAGGTAGAGGAAGAAGTTTCTCTCTTTTTAAGATGCTCCTGAATAACCCTATCAAAATACTCATCCATCTCCTTAAAGTTCCTTTCCAATCTCCCATGAAAGCCCCTCGATCGATCAACCCATTGCATCCCAGGAAAGAAATCTGCCACACAGAAGCTGCCAAACAACTCCAAAGCCTCTGAAAGTAAATGATTAAGACATTTCCCTCCTTCTTCACCATATTTGGCATCTCCAAACTCATGACCGATCATCGGCATGTATGCGGTCATGCGAGAGTAGGAGAAAGGGGGACGAAGTTGGAAACCGCTTGTTCGCATCAGTTGAGGCACTCGTGCCCTAACCTAGCCACAGAATAGGAAGGAGGGCCTCGAGCGGTCTATGAAAACTTGATTGAGAGCTTTGGAAAGAAGAAGGGATCACGGGATCCATCTGGGTGCGAAGGGAGGGAGCTCCGTTTGCGTGAAGGGAGATCAACCAGGAAAAATTATTGCATAGACATGCATGCTCAATCCTGACGGTCAAGATGTATTTCGATAGTCTCTACTTTAATCTTTTTTTTCTGATTGCATCATGACTGTAGATCACCGTGATCTACGGTCAGAATCAGACACCACCGCATGCATCTCTGCATGCGGTGTATGTATGCAATAGTTTTTCGATCAAACCGTTTAAAAGGGTAAAATATTAATTTATTTCAGTTAAAAATGTTAATTGATTTAAATTAAGTTATGAAATCTGATTCCTGATAAATCAAATTAAATTTCAGAACATCCTAAATTTTAAATTAAGAGTCATAAATTTTAAATTTAGTTATAATTAAATTGTTATTATGTTAGTATGCAAAAAGGAAAAATGTTAGAAGATTTAACATAATCTGTATTTTGGATACATCTTTGTTATATCTATGTGTATATGTTTAGATATTACATGTATATGTATATATATTTATATAGGTAAATAAATATTTAATGAAATAAATAAATTATGAAAATAATGATAGAAAATCTAGAAGAAATAGGAGATAAGTTTAACACTAAACAAGAAGTTAATTACATTTAAAATTATCATTATAGGTGCACTTAAGGACTAGACTGATCTGAGAAAAAAGATAACATGCGACATTGTTGAGTTGGATAATATATTTTTATGTTATAATAGTTCGGATGATTTACACATTTTTATTATTTCTCAGCTTTTACTTTAAACTGCAAAATCACGTGTTTTCTTCTTAATGTTAAATGCAAATTTTCTTTTAAATGTTAAATGCAAAATAAAATGGAATAAAATATAAAATATGCATGCCTATAGAAGTCACCTCTAGATTGTACTAGAAGAGGAATGTGTTATACTCGTGCACGAAATAGAATTGGAAATGAAAAATGAAAATGGAAAACTTTGCTTACCTTTATGGTGGATTGGAAAAAATTAAACATATATTATTTAGAATTTATATGTTTAGGCTTTGACTCACAATTATGAAAAAAGTAATTTAAATTAATGAAATGAAATTATTTCACTTACAACTCTCTTTTATTATACAACTTTAATTGTTATTGTGCATTACAAAAATATTTTAAAAATGAGAATTATTATAATTTAGAAATATTTATCGAGTGAGTAGTTTTAACTCAAACCATAGTTGCTAACATTTTTACATGAAAACCAGCTATATATTAAATAAACCCTTACATTTTAGTTTTTTTCTGTATATAAACATTTAAATATGAATACTCTATTGCAAATATAAGTTTTATAAATTAGAATGACTCTTATATTTCTGATTTTTACTCTTGTGATAAAATGAAACTGTTAGATTTATTTCATCCTTTTGGCCATCAGTTCCTACCGGGATAATTCTAATGTCATCGGGTCGGGTTGTGACAGTATGCATGTGCGTGCTCGGCATAAAAAATGCATGCTTAGAGCTTGAGTGAGGGGGTTGGGAGAATATGGCACAACCATATTGCTATATATTGCTTTAAAATCATTTGCATAAGCTGACCTATATTTTATATCATAATTTTTTTCAAGTTAGACAGACATCTCTAATCAAAATTTTTGCCTTATTTTTGACCAATGTTACAAGAGATGGGCGAAATTATGAAGGGGCCGGCCATATGTCGGGGCCGGCAAATATTCACCTCATTTTAGCAAAAGGTGGACCAAAAAGCATAAAATTCACTATTTAATTAATTTATTTAAATGCTTAGTTTAAGACAGAATAAATAAAGCAAATTAATTGCTTTTTTTTTGTTTAAATTACATATAATGCACAAATTTTGCATATATTTGAATATCAAATACCTAAATTATTGTAAATATTTTTTTAACGCCATTGAAATATATGACATGCTTTTCTAAGAAAAGAATGTTCAATAAAAAGTGTCCATAACTATCTTCTTCATCATCTAAAAAGTCATTACTTCTCCTTTAAATCAAATTAATTGATTTTAAGCTTGGCTCGAGAAGTGATTCATGAATTAAGCTCTGTACTAACAAGCGAAGCTCAAGCTAACCCCTACCACCATTCATTAACTCGTGAACTCGCTCATTTAAATATAATTAATATAAAATATACTCAAAATATATTATATTTTGAAATTTTATCTTTAAAGTACGAAAAATATTTTAAAAAATAATATTATATACTTTATATTGAGCCATTTTTTATTATTTATCTCATAATTGCTTATTCTAATTGTCATTTTATTATAATATTAACTTAAATTAATATTATTCTCTCTGTTATAATAAACAAGTCGGGCTGTGAACCGACTCAAACTCATAGATTTAAGCTCAAGCTCAAAACTCGAGCACTACTAGCTTCAAGCATAAGAGAATCAAAATCAGATAGAAAATAAATGAGAAAGCATATGTTGAAGACCACCATCCTTTATTAAGTAAATCTTTGTGAAATAAATGCAATAAATTTGGCCGCTTTTACTTTTCGGCAAATTTTTAATGGGTATAAATTGCACGGAGGCTTTTTTGTCTTTGTTCCAGGTAAAGGGACTCAAAATAAAAGCATAGAAAACAAATAAATACAAAATAACTCCCCTTAATCACTAGGGCTGTCAAAACCGCTAGTTGTTCGTGAACAGCTCATGTTCGGCTCGTTAATTTCGTTCGATAAGTTAATAAGCCGAACACGAACTAAGATATGTTCGTTTGCGTTGATGATGTTGTAATATAAATAATAATTTTTAAATTTTACTCAATTTCTTATTGTCTTATTGTTACATCATTAGAGTTGTTAAAAAAACTCTTTATTCGAGAACGAGCCGAACACGAACACACTTTTTGAGCTCGAAATATAAACGAGCCGAACACGAGCCTAGCTTGGCTCGAAGAGTGTTCGGCTCATTTACACCCATATTAATCACTCAATTTTCTCTCAACTTTTTTCAGCATCTTTTTTTATCAAAGTCAAAAAGTCAGGTTCCACATTAATTTCCTCCCCACAATAATTTCCCCCCCCCAAGTTTTTTTTTTTTTTTTTTTTCCTTTAACCGTAACTTTTTTAATTAAAAGTGCCGGAAAATTGATTCTTGAAAATTAAGCTCTAAGTTCTTAAAAATTGATTCAAATTTTGATTCAGATGGAGATCATATTGAAATAAATGAATGGATCTCGATCTAAAATTTTGTATTAAATTTTCTTCGAGCCAACCCCAACTTGGCTCAAAATTGAATCTTTAACCCCTGTAGTGATGTTATGATTATGAATTCAACAAATTTAGCTCCAAGATCAATCACCACCCGAAAATTGATTTGAATTTAAAGTGGGATCGAGATCAGATTGAAATAAATTAATCAAATTTTTGAATTGAATTTATCATTCTTCACCCATCATTCATGAAATTTATTTCTGAGATGATTTAAACGTTAAGAAAATGCCTCACTGAAGTCGGAAGCTACGTAATAAAGTCTCGAATTACAAGTAACGAGCAAAAGATTAATGATGAAAATCAACGTCCCTATATAGCAAAAAGCAAGAACCAACATCACCTATAAAAAAATAAAAATAAAAAACCTTACACAAAGATCTTCCCTTTCCACTTCCCCACTTCTTCCTCCTAAATAATCATCCAAATTGATATAAATAAAGATATAGATCAATTGAAGCAGAATCGAACTGAACCGATGGATGGATCGTTAACACCAGATCATCAAAAATTACGAACTTGATAATGGAGATCAAACCTGGGACTCGATCTTGCGCCCCCCCAAGCTCTCAGTTTCCTTCTCCTCGATAAGGTTCCTGGCTTCCTCATCAGCTGGAGCAACCTTCTTCTGAGCTTCCTTGGCCTTAAGCCCCTGCAGCTTGATGTGGTTATAGTACGCCACTCCGAGGAAAGCGATGCCGTAGCCGACGAGATTAATGGTTGTAACGGTGTCACGGATCACAGACCATGAGAAGGCGATGAGAAGCCAATCCTTCACAACACCGGCAACATTCATGGTGAGAGCAGAAGTCTTACCAACTAGCAGGAAGACGGCGAGATTGAGCGCAAAAGCGCAGAAGGAGTTGGTTCCAAAGATAAAGAAGTCGAGGTGAAAAGAAGAGGTGTTGCGGAGTATGGGAAACTCAACGATGGCCCATGGGAGGGAAAGAAAGACAAGACAGCAAGGAGACACATAATAAAGAGTGGTGATGGGGTTCAGAGTAATCCCCTTGGAGCTCAGAAGGATCTGAATCAGAACAAGACGGGTCGCCTCAAAGACAACAGCGCCAAGCTGCAGCAGAACCCCCCATGTACTAAATCTAGCCTCGCCATAGGCTGCGATCGCAACGCCAAACGAAATCGAGAGCATGTTAGCCATTGTTGTGCTGCGGAAACTCTCCTTGCTAAACAGAATCGAGATCGAATACACAGCCACAGGCATCAGAGCTTTGAGCATCTGAATAAAGGAGACAGATAGGTATATATACGCCGAATTCGAGAACCAGAGAGAAAAAGCGTAGAGCGCCCCGATCGGCACAACGCTGGAGATATAGAGCTCGCGGGTCATGGTAGGGGAAGATGGAAGCTCAACGAGACGAAGAACGCGGACGAGGATTATAGCGAGAGAGGAGCAAAAGGCCATGTGAATCATAGTGAGAGAGATCGGGAAGGGCCAGTTATACATCTTAGGATCGAGGATGTATTTGTTGTAGACGATGACGGTGAAACTAAGAAAGATCCAGATTCCGACATAGAAGTAAGAGAGAAGTACCTTCTTCACCACGCTCTCGCTTGCGATGGAGGCCGATGACACCTCGCGACCCATCGATCTTCTTCCGGCAGTTTCAGAATCGAGGGCCGAAGTAGATCTAGATGTCCCTCTCTTGCTCCGATTGAGAGGGATCCACCGCAAGAGAGCGCAAGCGGGACAGCCTAACCCCCAACTAACCCTAATTTAGCAGCGAAGATGGAAGATTAGAGAAGGGAGGAAGAAAAAATGGAGAGGAGTTGGATCTGAGAATGGAAAGGAGGAAGGGGATGGAACGGGGATTATAAAGGGGATGCTGATGGACTTTGTGAAGAGCCCGGGTCCAGTGTTGGGCTAAAGCTTTTGGGTCTTGGGGCATGATTTTTGGGTCCTAGCATTTTCTTTTCTTTGGATTTTGATATATATTATTGGATTCTTATTTATTTGTATGTTTATCATATTAATTTTTATATTTATTTAGGTAACAACTTAATTTTAAAACTATGTTTGAAAATGTCATTATACTTATTTGTAATATAATATTTTTTTCAAGAATTTATTTTAATGTGATTTAAATGTTAATTTTTTTATAATATGCTTAAGTATTTATGTGTTAACTTTATAAATATCTAAAATTTTGTGATGTATATGCAAGTCTCTTGTATTTTTAGAATATGTTTATCAAATTTAATTATAATTATTAAAAATTAAGATAAATGTATTTAAACTTTAATTTATGGTTTGTTGCTGATGACATGTTATTTAGCCTTTATTATTAGATTGTATATCATTCCATCTTCTTTTTTGATGCCTTCTTTGTGAACTAAGATTCCCTCCCCTTCGCTCAGAGCACTGACATTTACACCTAACCTAAATCTCAACAAATCACTTTTTTTTTTAGTTTTGTGAAGTTTTCTTACTTTTTTTCTCTTGTTTAATATCATAGAAATGCCTTAAAAAGTACTCAAATCTTTATAAATAATGTTTATTCCTTCCCTCCATTCTTCTAAAACTACAAACCTATTTATAAGGTTTTCATCCTTGCTGTGAGAGAATTCATTTGGAACCCCACCAAAAACTCACAGAACCCCACAAAAAACTCATACATAAACCCTCGTTTGCATGATAAAATCTTGAATTTTAATGGGCTTCACACCACTCAATAGCCCTCCTCAACAAACTTCCATGTCAATTTAATGGAGAATCAAGAAGATGATGTCTTTTTTTTTCTTCCTTTTGTAAGCTCATTGATGGTGCAAAGGATTAGATGTTATTTTCATTAGGTATGCCATTATAAAAATACCATACTATGTCACTTTTTGGAAGCTATGAAAGAAACTTGTATAATACAAGATAATCACACACTTATTACTTCGGATAAATGTTTCTTTATCATTATAGTCATTTAAAGA